CAGAAAGACGACGGGAAACAACGCACGCTTCTTATTCGCAAAGGGTCGAGCGACGGCCAGTATGTCGTCGTAGTTAATGTTATTGAACGTCGCCGTCGACGCCGCCACAGTCAGAGCTGCCAAGGTGGCCGCATACGGTGCTACATCTCTGTTAGCCAAGGGCGAGAGGGCACATAGGGGTGGTTATGCAAAATACCATCTTGGTTGGAGTTTCCTATGTCTCCTAGAGGATGATGAAGTCTACTCCACTTGACCTTGCCATCGTCTTGGACCTTGACTACAGAACAATTGGTCGGAGAGAAGGCCATCTGTAAGCCTAGGGTATCTTGTTAGCTCCATCAAGCAGATGAGTTGCATTGCATGAACTCACATGGTGAATCATCCTGTAAGGTGAACCCCACTTGACCCAATGTCATGACTCTGTCGAGATTCATCTCATTGTAGACTTCCTGTAGAGTATACCTATCGCGGTATTCCACCGAACCATCACTGAAGGCCAAGCAGACGACGTTGCCGTACTGAATGGTATGAAGACCGATCACGGCCTTATTGATGACTACGGGGTCGCACTTCTTGAGTCGACAGGTAGGCTTTGACGATATTAGACCAGAGCTTGACTTTTGACTTCTCAAGTTTGAGTGACTTACAGCTGGAGCCGTTCCAGTACTATTCCTGCGACTTCCAAGCTGCTCAAAGGCAGGATGAAGACTTTGAGGCTGATCGCCAGGAACTTCCCACTTGTCGATGATACTTTGCGTTTCCTGATATGGGGTATTGGGTGTTGGCACGTAAGTACCAAATGCAAGGATGACGAGAGGAGCCCCCTGGCCATTGGGGTCCATGACCGACGGTAAAATCTCCAAGTGTGTTAGTTGCGTCGCGGCTGAGTCCACCGGTGTCGTGGATGGACCGCTGGGTAGCCAGGTAGAGATGGCAACGTGCTTCTCGTGCAAGGTAGGGTTAAGAGCTTGGCTGCCCGGCGGTGGTTTCGTATCGGATTGAGATTGTGGCAGTCCCCAGTGAATGCCAACTTTCACTACTCGTATTTGCTTATTGGTAGTGGCCAGGGCAATCCACAGGTAGCCTACTCTCTGTCAGTCACATCTGAACATATAGGCGGGCTTCATACTTGCCCTTGTCACTGTGAAGTGCTGCATGTGTGATTAAGTCGTCGGATGAGTTGACGCTCTCGAGCTCAAGTGAGGTTTCTTCGATCTTGTTGTTGTTCTGAGCCCAAAACATCTTCAGATGCCCGTTTGTCGTCACACACAACAGAGCGCTCTTGGATGGATTCGGGTGCCATGGGCCCCCGGCACGTACGAACGAGCTCTCGTACCTATATTGGTTGCCATCTTTCACAGCCGGTCCATGGCTCACCCAGTACTGACCAGTTAGCTAGGTAGAAGGATCTCGGGAGGGCTTGATACTCACCTGTTTGCTTTGAGGAGCAAGTGGTAGCCAGTAGCTTCCGACAATGGCGTGGAGGTCGTCGCAAGGGTCATGGTCCCATTTCCGTGTTGCGAAGGGCCGGTTCAGAGTGATGGAATAGGTCAGAATGGCAACTCGGCCAGTCGCGTCGATGACGGCTAGTTCAGGGCTTGCCGTTGAGGCCCAGGCGAGGTGTATTATGGGGCTTGAAGGATTGATGCTGATGAGATCAACTTTTGTAGGCTCACTGAGACCCCAGTCGCCATTGTCAGGATGAGAACGCAGGAACCTGGCTTCCAGAGTCTTTCCGTCTGGGGAAACTGAGGCTATTGCGCCGGATCTGGACCATGCGACTCCCCTACAAGAATTGTGAGACCTGGGATACATTGTGCATGATTGTGGGATGGTTCTCACTGGCAACAGCCGCGGGTGCGCAGCTCATCGATCCTCTGGCGCAGTTGCTTCGTTGGAGGGCGTGCCGTGTGAAGAGACAGGCCGCCAACGCCGTCGCCAAAGAGGTCGTCGACGTCGAGCTGGTCGACCTGCATGGCCCCATTCATGCCGTTTTCGAGCATGAGCGGCATCTTTTCTTCGGTCATGTGTGCGTGCGTGTTGTGTTGGTGCCGAAATATCGGGCTGGCGCGCAAACAACACTCAGGGTGTCAGCCACGGAGACAGGACGCGACTGGCGTGGTGTTTCAAGGCGAGATATCAAGAAGCCGGCAGAAGCTCATTTTAAGAGCCAGAGGAAGCAAAAGTTGCCGTTACACACAGTAGGATACGTGACCCCCTCAATGAAATTAACAAAACTACGAATTGCTGTTGTACTGCCTTGATGACTTGGGGGCTTGACAAACGGTACTCCCAGATGTGGCTGAATGGAGATTGGAGCAAAATGCATGTATCCGTTCTCCGTAAGTCGATAGTTATCGTTGGGTGGATCGCGGCTCTTGAGAGGTGGACTGGGGCCAATGGAGTGCAGAGACAAAGTCCGCCAGGCCACACCTTGCCTCAGCCTCAAGTTCACCTCACGCACGCACACGCGAGAAGAGGCAAGGAGGAGTGGGGAAACTTCATATGAAGCTAGACCAAATTAGGCCCATCAGATATCCATCAATGAGGCAGGAACCTTGGGAGTAGGAAACGGTGCTTGTGGCTGATGAATTGTGGCTGGTGCTCCGACCCCAATGCAGCATCTTTGAACTGCAGGTCGCCCCCCAATATCAAACGCTGTGGGGAAGTTGGAACCCGTGACGTCCATCCAATGATCCCTGCAGGGTGAGAAGGGCCGGGCCCCTCTTCGATCGTGACAGGGGGGCGGCCAAAGGACGGGCAGACGTGGACAGGCGGACAGGGCAAAGACGAGGTCAGTGTTCCCGGGCAACGGGCGTCCACCCCGACCGGCTCGCCCGCCCTGTGGGTGCAGATGCAGTGGTGTCGTGCTCTTGTCACTTTTTTGGCCCCCGCGACTCGGCCGCGTTTCAGCCGACCGCCTTGCACGTCGGTGGCCGCGACAGGATGAAAACAACACCGCATTGTCTGCTCGAGTACTTCATATGTTGGGCACATACGGAGTAAGTACTTTGAATTTGAGGTGTCAATCGGTGATGGATGTTTGCCTCCATCTAAACTCACCGGACCTGTCGTCAAGATTGAATTTGTGTTCGTTTGCCTGGGTCTCGGACATCTGCAAAATGACGTCGGTTTCGCCAACTCTCTTCGCGAGGCGAAATGAGAGTCATTACCGACCACTTACCCATTGTTCGTGGAGGTGAAGATTCTCGCTGTAGCAAAAGGCGCTGCTGCGGTGCATTTCCATCACTGGCGGGCGCGGCTACATTCCGGCTATGCGTAGGTAGCCCATGAGTCGAATGAGGTATCTTGCGGTGCATCTTTGTAAGGCAGGCGCGACGAGCAAGGTCCCTTACCTACTTAGTTTGCTGCAGCTCACCGCTGTATCGACAGGCAGCTTGTGCCCGTAAATCACGGACAACCGCCGTAAGCTTGATACAATCGAATTTTGGTGATAAACGATAAAGCAATGAGAGCAATAAGCGTGCTGGTATTCAACTTAAACAAGGCTTTGTGAAGCTTCAGACTGAAATTAGTAGTGGTTAGGTGGACATTGCCTTGCCCGAGTATGCATCTCCAAAAGAACCCTTTCTGCGGGATAACGCAACAAAGTAAAATACAACAGTCGAGTCATTTTTTCTCAAAAAAAAAAAAAAAAAAGAATAAACAGCGGGGTTGACCGTCGTCATCCTCGTCATGCCCCAAAGACAAGAGAAAGAAACGGGCAGGCAGACAGGCAGGGGAGCAAAGCTCTTCCTTTGGTCCCGTCTCCATCTATTGTCGTTCCCTCGACTTTGTCGCATTCTACTGCGGATGGTAATGCCAGTGTCCAGCCAAAATTCCACAAGCGCCCTTGGGTGCGATGGATCAAGCAGACACGTCGAACATGCGATAAGAAGGGTACAAATGAAAAATTGTATCAATCATGCTTCTCGTCATATTTTGACCACCCGCATGACAAAGTGAGCCGAAGAAGAGGGGAACGAACAACAACAACGAGAGGGGGTGGAGGAGGCCGGAGGGAGGCCGGAGTGCATGGGCCATGTCCATGTACCTCGAGGGCACATGAATGCGGAAAAGTACATGATGTGGAGTAAATTGTTAGGAGCAACAACTCTTCGGGATCAGGAGCGAGCAGGAGCAGACGGGAGCGCAATGCTCACCCAACTCCCGTCGACTTTTCGACCGGACCCAATGGGAAATTAAGCGACTCTTTGGAGACCGGAGCCAAAACAGAAAGAAGCGCGTGCGCACCGAACCCAGACTTCAACAGCAGCAAAGCACTAGCCACCGCACCGTTCCTTACCCTTTCTGCCTCCCGTACGGTGTAGGTATCCCCCGTGTGCCCATCCGTCTCCCTCTTTTCTTCGTGCCCTTTCCCTCCCGTCTTTCTTCCCCTGTCTCGTCTCTCTCTCACCTTAACTTACCTTGCCTTACCTTAGGTAATACCGTAATAAAGTGCCAACCCACCCGTCCGTACCCTCCTGCCGCGCCGGGCCCTGACTGGATCTGATCTGCTGCCACCGCTGTTCGGTCTTTTCCAGACCTGTGTTGACGGCACTTTAAGCCCAGCTCTAGGTCCCGCCTCTCGCTTGACGGTGTTCCAAGTCACGTCCGCTCCCCTCTCTCTCCTCCCATCCGTCCCCCCGTTCCCCCTTCTCCCTCCGTGCTCCATCATCCATGTACGTTTGCTTGCAGCCGCTACGGCTATGTACTTGTTAAGGTACCCTCGCCCGTCCGCTCTCCACACTTTGTCTTTCTTCAACGACACTTCTTCTTACTTTCCCGACAACAACGAAAACCCTTTCAACCCACCCCCGGAGAAAGAAGCCCACACTCCTGGAAATCGTTGAACAATGGATATGGTATAGAACACGCTGCCCATGTTCCCGCAAATCTTGTCCCGGATCTTTTCTTCTTTCTCCCCTCCGTCCCCGACCACCACCGACGACAACAACGACGACGACATCAAAATGGACGCAACCCCTTCCTCCTCGGCCATGGACGTCGACGCGCATCAACAGCCCTCGTCTCCCTCAGATTCGACCCTTTCGTCACCTCTTTCCGTATTGTCAAAATCACCCTCGATACCCTCATCGCCAGAAGTCGCCCTCGACGCGTCAAAACGATACCCCTCGCCCACCTCTTCAATGCCTTCAGGCGCCCAGTCACCAATCAAGCTCGAGGCCGCAGATGACTCCGTACCCGTCATCAAGCTCGATAGCGCTGCCGATTCCATCAATGTCAATGCCAGCGATGCTACTGATGGCCAGCCTCCCCGAAAGCGGCGTAAAGTTACGCCTCCTAAAGAGCGCACTACAGAGTACCTCAACCTGGAAAACTGCAAAGAAGACGACGGAAACTTGGCGCGTCTAGTGTCCGCTCTCAAGAAACGGAAGAAGATCGTCGTCATCGCAGGCGCTGGAATCTCTGTTTCGGCCGGCATCCCCGACTTTCGATCCAAGACTGGTCTCTTTGCGACACTGCCAAATGAGCACAAGGTGAAAGGCTCAGGCAAGCACCTGTTCGACGCCTCTGTCTACAAACATGACTCCTCTACCGAAAAATTCCACAAAATGATTTGCGACCTGGCTACAATGGTCAAGGCCGCCAAGCCCACTCACTTCCACCACCAATGATTTGCGACCTGGCTACAATGGTCAAGGCCGCCAAGCCCACTCACTTCCACCACCTCTTAGCGTCACTCGCCGCCGAAAACCGTCTCCTACGCCTCTACAGCCAGAACGTCGACTGTATCGACACCAACATGGAACCGTTGAAGACGAACGTTCCCCTGAACGTCAAGGGTCCTTGGCCCAAAACCATTCAGCTGCACGGAAGCGTTGACCACATGGTCTGCTCAAAGTGCAGTGACATCAAGGCTCTGGAAACAGAGCTTTTCGTGGGCCACGAGGCTCCACTATGCAAAACTTGCGAGGACCTCGACATGGTTCGCACGCAGTATGGCCAAAGACGAAGTCACGGTATTGGTCGCCTGCGTCCCAGAATGGTTCTTTACAATGAATTCAATCCGGACGAAGAAGCCATTGGTAAAGTGTCGAGTGTGGACCTAAAGTCGCGTCCCGACGCGGTCATTGTTGTTGGCACCAGCCTCAAAATTCCAGGCGTGCGGAGGCTTGTGAAGGAGCTGTGTCAGGTCACGCGTAGTCGCCGAGACGGATTCACTGCATGGATCAACACGGACTCGGAGCCACAACACAACGACTTCAAAGACTGCTGGGACCTTGTCGTTCGCGGCAAGTGCGATGACGTGGCTCACTGGGCTGCTCTACCCCGTTTCGACGTACCCCAAGGCGACCAGTCGGCCTATCTCAGTGAGGGAGAGGAGCAGAGGCGCCAGGACAGACTTAGCAGGGATAATCTCGAGGTGCAGCTCATTTCGCCGACGCCCGATTCACCGACCAAGTCTACTTTAACCACTACGTCGGATTCAAAGAAGCGGAAGCTCGTCGACCCTGTCCAGAGCATCCCAACACCCACAGCCAGCCCGAAGATCAAGGCTGTCGAGGCTGCGAAGAAGGGTAGCAAGGCGAAGCAAAGCAAGCTTTCGTTTGGTGGCCAGCAAGCTGCTACTCCCGGAAGCGACGCAACAGCCAAGAAGGTCAAGAAGCCGTCCGCGAAGAAGCCCCGGAAGGACAACAAGAAGGCCACGGTGCCCCCCAAGAACAGCGTTGCACAGACCTTCAAGACGCAGAAGAACCGCGAACTCGCCGATATGCCACAAGAGACCTTGGCTGGCAAATTGGACAGCCAGCACTATCTCAAATATGTTGAAGACAAGCTTCAGTCTCAGCTTCCACCATTGCGACCGGCTCAAAAGCCTATACAAAGTTTCGTCTACAAGCGCGCCGAGAACACCGACGAGGAGGCACAGAAGGAGGATGTTTCATCACCCGCGCGACCGTTTGAGAAGATGTCGAGGCCGTCACTCGCTGAACGGCCAAAGTCTTCACCAAACACTGGAGACAGCAGCGATGTACGCCCAATGACGCCCATGCATATCCGACGCAAGTCGGCCGACACGATTTCCCCTGAATCGATTCCTCGAGGCATGGAAGCCTTGATGGACTGAAGATAATCATGGAAGCATTGTCGTTCACATGATCACTTGGCATCGATTGCATTTTGTTTTTTTATATTCATAGAAGACGTCAACCTGTCGGCACCGAAGAGTTCGGGCTAGACAGGTGACAGTCCACGGAGATTTGTCTTATTCACGAAACGGAGTTGGTATGGAATACGTCTCGCATCGCTTTATCTTGTACATACAGAGTACCTGCCCACTTGTATAAAGCAGCGGCCACTGAGCTCAAAGGCTCTTTGACGCAGGCTGCCATGTGTGGGCTCCACAAGCGAGGGCTTCATTCGGGCGGGCAGACGCTGAGAAAAAATCTGCGCTCGACACACTGCGAGATGAACAAGGTAGTGGGATAGAGGCGGCCCCGAAGTCCGCCATGGGACGAACATGATCGTTAATATACCACTTTTCACACGAGATACCTTTATTCTGGTATTACCTTTCTACTATACGCTTTTGTGACCACCTCTATTTCCGGCGACGTTGTTTCGTGCTGACTGATAGCGTGATGACCGCCGTGCCCGCCAACCAAGCGCCCGAGATCGTGCCCTACCATTCTATATTAGAAGTAGGCAATCGGTTGGTCCGCGGATCAAGGGGAGAGAAGTTGTACGGCGCAAGACCACCGAGACTCCAGGCATCACACTTTACAAATGTGTCGAATGAAGAAATCAATGCAAGCTGTTGTTCTACCACTGTTCACTTGTTGTTTATTCTGTGTAAGGTACAACCAGGTATGCTACAGCAAGGTAGGTAGCATGAGACGCATACACAAACACATACACACTCGGGCCTACACTTTGATCCGCGAATTAGGGCCAACACGTTCTGGACCACCAAGATGAACTGCATTCATACAAGGCTTTCTTGCTCATTGCAGTAATACCTGTCTACTACTTAAGTAGATTATTCTAATAAGGGCATGGGAGCTCCATCCGTCCATCCCTATGCGCTAGATATATCGGGCTCAGATCCGTATCTCCTGCTGATGCGACCGAGCGTCCGTAGGTATGACTGCCAGCACGGGTACAATGCCCCATCTCCAGTCTGCCACCACGCCGCCGCCGCGACCAACAAGGCTACGCGTACTCGCACCTAAACGAGGCCAACGTCATGTGACCAGCCTACGGCCAGCCGGCCAGCAAGGCTCGCTCGCTCGCTCGCACGCACGCCTGCCTCCACGGAAGGCAGCAACCAGAACAGGGCCCGGCTCGTCTGTCCTCGCCTCACTAAAAAAATCTCAAAAACGCATGAGGTGAGACATGATATTGTTTTCGCAAAACTCCAAAAAACGAGTCCGTCCTGTACCATGCAAGTCCGGGTATGTAGTTTATCTTATCATTCCCTCACCCACAATGAAAATGCCCTGCCCACCTAGTACCGAGAACGCCATGCCGATGCTGATATTAAACACAAATCGTGACTGGATGGATATGCGCAAATGGAAACCCGTCTCCCAGTCCGTACTTTTATGATTGCGAATCCTAAGAAGCCGCTGCAGTGCCATTTGCCGCCGCCGCGGCCGGTTTGTCTCCGTTGTGCTTCTTCACTTCTCTGTCCCGCAGGACTCTATACATGGCGCTCAGCCGATCGCCCGTTACTTCGTTGCTCGTGCTGTCAACTGGCCACAGGTTCGCCAAGAACTCCCTGAGCAAATGTTAGATCTGTATAAGATGTGAAATAGCCGGCGGAGAAAACTTACCAGAAGCGATTCTTCAGCGCATTGTCTCGCTCCTGAACGAATTCGCGATCCAGGAAGTTGCCAATGACAACCAACTCCTCTCCAAATATCTTGGCGCGTTCCTTGCTGGACTTGATCCTCTCCTTCGTTGTAACAAGAATTGCCTCAAAGTTTGCTCGAACCGGTTTGAGCAAGTACCACAACATGGCATCCGCGTCCTTCTCACGTTCCTCCTTATTATCGCCCATCTTACGGAGTTGATCAAGTCGGTGAAGGGCTTGGTTGCGACGCTCGTTGTCTGGCTGATTTGCTCGCGGGGTGTTGCTCGACCTGCGTCGATCATCGCCATGTCGATGATCATCTGGGCGGCGAAGTTTGCTACTTCGCTCCCCCTCATCGCGATGCCTTGGTCTGTCAGCTCGAGGAGACTGTTGCTCATCACCATTACTTTTGGTCCGTCGGGCTTCATCCGTTCTCCGATGCTTCGGGATACGGCCTTCATCATGGCCTGAATGCTTCCTTTTGGAGTCAGGTCGCGGCGTGCCTTTCTCATCAGCGTTGCTGCGGCTGCGATGATGATCAGCGTGGCTGCGTTCTCTGTCCCGATGCGAGCCGCTCTTTTTGAGGGCCGGCGGAGCAGGAGACGCTGCGCCACTGCCTACATCACTGCGACGGTGTCCATTCGCCAGTCGCTTGTTATTGCGATGGTGATTTTCGACAGTTCTGTGAGCAAGTGGGTCACTAGAATGTTTGGCCGCAAGCACAGAAAGCAGGTATTCTGAACGGCGAACGAGGTGGACGGCGCCTGGTGAATTAACACCCTTTTCAGTCGCCTTATTTCGTTCTTCCTTCTTTTCGATGCGGTGCTCCTCCAAGAAGAATTTGTCCGACATGTCTAGCGTGGCATCGTCCCGAATTTGAGTCCAAGCCCCAAACCCGTACTTGTCGATGCCAACCAGAAGCATACCGTCTTCTCGAGCGCCCCATTCACATGAATAGTGGGCAGCCTTGGTCGCATCGGCGAGACGGAAGGTCTTGAAGTCATCGCTCTTCCGAATGGTTTGCCTCAGCAGGCGAAGTTGTTGAGGACGCTCGACCGCCGTCTCTGCGTTCATCTTCCTGACCTCGCCGAAATCAACTAGAACAGCCTTCTTATCCTTCTTCGTCAGAGACTTGCCAAGTTTCCGCTCGTCATCCATTAGACGCGTGTTGTTATCATTGAGCGCATCTTCGCATCTCTTGACAAAATCGTCTAGTATAGACTTGAGGAAATCGCGGTCGCGCTCTCCGAGGCGTGCTTCCTGTACGATCTCCTCGCCGCGGTCATCCATAGATCCGTATCTGAAGAAAGCTTTGAGAAGGTTTCGCGTCTCCTTCTCGTTGAGTGGGCGCTTGGGGTCAGACAGCAGGGCACGCTGCTCCTCGGCTTCTCGGCGTTGTTGTTCCTCCCTTTGTCGTTTCTTCGCAAGACGGTCGGACCTATCCGTCTCATTTCGATTCTTCATTGTCGCTCTCCGGGGAGCGCTCTCGGCAGCAACCTTCGCCACGTACTCCTCATTCTTCCGTTGCTCTTCATCAGCCTTGATCACGGCAAGCTCCTCTGCGGGGATAATCTGATCCCAGTCAAGGGCCAAGTCGTCCACCTTCACGTCGGTGTATTGCATAAAGTTGTCCCAGTCAATACCACCACTGCTGAGATTCATCTTGTCATCCACCTTCGTCTTCGTGATTTCGGCATTCTCCAATATGGAATCAATGTCGAGCTGTTCAAGACGCTCTTGATTGCCGCTTTGCTCAAACATCTTCTGCGAGCGCATCTTGAGAATGAGCTGGATATCTTCAGCGGAGTTGGGCCCGTCGATCTTCAGACCCTTCTTGTTCATTTCATCACGGAAAGCCTTGCCATCGTCAGTGACACCAGCTTGAATCGTCAGGTACTCGAGCAAGAGCTTATTGCGAGCACGCTCAAGCACTTCTTCTTCAACGGTCTCCTTTGACACCAAGCGGTAGATGCTGACGGGCTTCTTCTGACCGATACGGTGCGCGCGTCCCATAGCCTGCAAATCAGCCTGGGGATTCCAGTCAGAGTCGAAAATGACTACAGTGTCGGCCGTCATTAAGTTGATACCCAAACCACCTGCTCTGGTGGAGAGGAGGAAGCAAAAGTCGTCGCTGTCTTCCGCATTGAAGTGGTTGATAGCCATGCGTCGAGGGCCAGCGGCGATGGTGCCGTCGAGACGCTGAAATTTGTAGCCTCGAAGTGCCATGTAATCGCTGAGAATGTCTAGCATCTTGACCATTTGACTGAAGACAAGTACTCTGTGTCCATCCTTTTTCAGCTTTGTCAAGAGCTGGTCGAGAAGCATCATTTTTCCACTGCTGGCGATGAGGCCCTTGATCTGGTCTTCTCGACGGGTGCTGCCGGCGAGAACTCTCTCTTCGGCTCCCGCAAACATGTATGGGTGGTTGCTGACTTTCTTCAGCTCCATCATGATGTTCAACAAGGAGTTCTTCTGGCCGGTTGCGCTGGACAACGCGGCGTAATTCCTTGTAAGAATGTTCTTGTAATAATCCAGCTGCACATCTGAGAGCTCAACACGAATGATCTTCTCTGTCTTTGGCGGAAGATCGGATTCGACTGTCTCTTTTGTGCGTCGCAAAATGTATGGGGCGATAGACTTGTGGAGGTCCTGGAGCTTTTCTTGCGTATCGTTACCTGCAAGATCTTCCAACTCTTCGTCAATCACAACCTTGCCAGGGTTGAGGAAGTCCATCAATGCGGACAGCTCGGCTAGATTGTTCTGAATAGGGGTGCCCGTGATCAAGATCTTGCAAGGCACGCCGAAGCTCACTAGTCTCGCGTACAGTTGAGACTCCTTGTTCTTCAAACGATGAGCTTCGTCCACAAGAAGAGCTTGCCACTTGATCTGCTGAAGAAACTGCCAATCTTGTAGAATCATCTCATATGAAGTGATGAGGGCGTTGAACTTTGGCTTCTTGGGGTTGCCGTTGATCATTAGCTCGTTGTCACGGATTGTACTGCGGGAGGCTTCATTGCCGAGATACACAACATAGTTCATGTCGGGGGACCAGTTGTCGAAGGTATCACCCCATGCCGGGATGACACTCAAAGGGGCAACAATGAGGAAAGGCCCCTCTTGCTCGCGTTCGTTGCGAAGCCAGCTGAGGAATGACACGCTCTGAACGGTCTTTCCAAGACCCATTTCATCGGCAAGAATGACGTTGTTTGCGCGAGTCCAGTTGAGACACAAGAAGTTCAGGCCTCTGAGTTGAAATGAGCGCAGTTCACCATTTTTGATGAAGTCGGGTTGCGATTCAAGCTTGGTCATCCTTGTTCGAGTATCCGGGTTTGACTCCTTGCGATCAGAGACCCACGACCGAGAAGATCGGTCCAAGAATTGATCAATCTTGTCCTGGAAGTCCGCACTGATGGCAGACGCAACTTCCCACGTGCACTCGTCGTAGTAGCAGCCTTTCCACTTGACAAGGTATTCTGTCTCTTCATCACCGTCGCGAACAGCGACAACTCTGTCCACCTTCGTGAAATCTTCCAGTGCTTCTTCCGCACGCTCACGATCAAGGAAGAACTGCTCCTTGGTTTCGGGCGGGATGTCTTCACCATACCGAATCAGGAGCTCATGCTCCACAATGGTTCTGAAGTAGTTCTCGACTCTACGATAGCCTCGCATGCTGCGTAGGGTCTCTGCTGTTTCCCAAGTGTCGTGCAAGTGAGACTTGCCTTGCCACTTGACGAAGTATTCGAAGTCGGTTCTAGTTGAGCTCCAGCTGAGCTCGAGGCCGTCTTTCAGCTTGTGTCGCAGGACCTTGTCAATGTATGGGGAGTCGTCTACAACATCTGCCGCATAGTAATTGGGCGTAAGCATGTCCTCGTCCTCGTCATCGACGTCGCTTTCTTCGTAGGCGCCTTGTTGCACTTGCGCGGCCCGTCTGCTCGACCAACGCTTCTCCGCGAGAAGCGCGCTTGGCTGGGCCTCACGCTGACGGCGTGCCTTCTTTTGCAGACTTTTCGCGCGCGCACCACCGTAGTTATCAGAGTCGGAGTCCGAATTCGTGGAGGGTTGTCGTGCAGGTGTACCTCGTTTTGAAGCTATGCGAAGTCAGAATTGATGATATCGATGGCTTCGGAGGCCGACGGGGTAAATGCTCACATTGTCTCGATGTCTCAACGCGTCTTCTTTTCACCACTCTTCGGTTAGTAGGCACCACATCAGACTCGGATTCGTCAGATGAATCAACCTTCATTCCCAAACTGTCAGCGATGGGGCATGGCAAGCATCGGATCCTACGTACCATTCTGCGCTGCTGCGTCGGGCGGGACTGCGAAGGAAAGTCAGCTCACGGCGTGGTCAATTAGAGCAAGCATCAATCATACACTTCTTCTCAACCCGTACAGTTCTGGATTTGCCTTGATGTAGTCATCCTCTCGGGCAGGGACTTTCCGCTTCGTAGGCCGTTGAGAATCATTGGAGTCCGAGTGGACGTCGCCAGCCCCGTCGCTTTGGGCAACAGAAGCCGCGTCCTCGTCCATATCGAAGTCAGCATCGTCAGATGCGTTGTTCTCATCGCCGGAGCTCTCGCTTTCGGCGAAGTCGGGTGCGCCATTCATGTAACCAGACAAGTCGTTGGGATCCGGCGACGGTGACGATGAGGCGAGGCGTGCGGCATTATCGTGCATATCTGAGAGGTCACTGTCGCTCTGGTGGCCGGCAGCGACTATTGGAGAGGGAGAACCGCCCTCTGGCGACCCGTACCCGTTGGTGGGACCGGGTTCGAGGGGGCTAGACATGGTGATGGTCTAAGTCGAGGCTGCCTGCTATGGATGGAACGACGTTAGCCAAATGTTTGACCGTCTGAGGACAGAAGCGGAGAAAGAGCGTGGCCAGTGAGGTTGGGCGACCGAGATCAACATGAAATCACCAGGAAAACCCGGGAATTGATGGAGATCTCGACCTCGTCGCATCGCGGGGACGCGGTTGATGGAGACGAGGCTGAAAGTTGATGGCGATGCCATTGTGCCAGTCAAGCGGACTCAGAGTACCGTGACGTGTCACCAGGGCATCAGAACCATCCGGCGAGTCCGTTTCCATCAACATGAGGCATCTCAGGGATCGCCCAGGTCATGGCAGATGAGGATATCAGGATGGGAGCGCGCCGCTACGAGGCTGGCTTGATGGCTCGTGACGGGAAACTGGCTGGCTCTTGGAAGCCTTGTAACCAGGTGGAGGTAATAACTTACAAGTCATTAACGAATGGCCTCCAGGCAGCTAGTACCATTGATCTTGACCAGAAAAGGTATTGTGTTGAAGGAGGTTATGGAAAGTGACGTGCCTAGGTAGTCCGTAGGCCTGGCGGGTGATGGGTGGTGGTGGATGGAAAATGTACCGGTGGAGAGGCAGGAAAGAATTGAGGTGGATGCACGGGTGAGGTACAGGTGGTTGTAGCGCTATCCGCACTGAATCACCCCCAAAAGAAGTCGGCCGTTTTGGCCTGAGGCATGACCCGCCCTCTCGAGAACCTATTTGATTCGCGGAGGCCAAGGTGAATGAGCGAATGGGAGAAGAGGAAGAGTGTGGGGCTCCCAGCCTCAGAGGTCGCACACGCCGTCGCGAGCGGGCAGGCAGTTCTAAGAGTTCACCGAGATTCGGAACCCCGCTGGCACCTACCACACCTCACCGCTCCCGTCTCTCTTCCCCACTTTGGACGTCGCAGCTCCGGTAGCGTCTAAGGTTGTAGACAACGGTCTCCGAAACCTTTATTGCTGTTGCAAATCCGAGTTCGAAGACTTGGGTGCCCACTTGCAGTCTCTATATGTCCTGGCACTTGAGGTTGTCTTTGTAGTCTCGAGCAAGTTGACAGATCCTACCTGGCGCTGGGCTTCGCGCGGAATTTGATCAATGGGTGGCTGTGATCTTTTGGGGTGAAGTCAACAACTTCAACTCCCAAGTGTTAGATCCGGCATCAACAGACCTATTTCAGCGGCATCCTATATGTCGTGTTCATGACAAGGAAGCTTTGCAAATGTTATGTCACTCCGTGTAAGGCATTGTGTCGTTGCATAAGTACCTTGAATAGTTCCGGGTCTGCCATGTAAGACTCTAGTAGCTTTCTCGTGCATTGTACAACTGGTCAGACATTCGACTATTGGAGTTTATTTTCCTTCGTATTCTCTATATCTGTAGCCATTGCGATGGTCCCAAATGTTGGGATCAACTGGCTTACATCTTATAGGCTCCATCTCTACCCAGTTGTGATACAGCACATGTCTTACCAGCTTCTTGCCCATATGATGAATCTGTAAGATTCCATGATCGGCGCTGAATTCCTGTTTCAATACCACAGGCACCGCATCATATATTTCTGCCTCTTATCTTCTCCTTGGGAACAATGATTTATTTTCAGCCAGGTATCAGGAAGGTAGGCTTTAGTAATATGCCCTTGTCTTCCATTCGTCAACTTCGTCTGTAACTGCCTACCTACATACATTAACCAAGTGAGGTCACGTGAGAGCTTAGCAACAGTAAGGTGCAGACAGCACACCTAGTTCCAAATTGGTCAGCGAAGACTGTGCAGTTCACAGCGTTTTCCAGCATGAAGATTTCGGGATGATGAGAATAACATAATGGCTTTTGAGACCTCCCAGGTGAGTCTATGAGACTGCCCACCTGAGATTGACTACTCAGTACCTCGCTCAGTTCTCCAGAGGTCTGTATTATGAAGGAAACAGTGATAGTGGGCATATGGCAAGTGGCTCAGCAAGGTCCAACTCAGGCCTCTTTCAAGGCTGTATGAGTCCTGGAGGAAATTCTTAGTGGATGACAAAGAAGCGACTGGGTGGACAAGGTGCGTTGATGTATTAATCCACCCACCTCTTTGAACCAAAAGCAATGGGCAAGTAGCAAAGCGGAGATAAAGTGCCTCGGTGCGATCCGTCGACCAACCTTCAGCTCGAAAGATAAACATGGGGTCAGCTTTCTTGCAAAGATGTGCACAGGTGTGTTTCCAGCCAATATTGTCAACATTACATCTGCAGGGGACGTTCCAGACCTTGTGTTTGGCCTCACCAGGACCGTGATGTCAGGTGCTCTGGAAGTAGCGACCAGGTACTTTTTCGCTTGGTGATTGGAGACAAAGTGACACACAAAACACCTGGTAACCCTCACTGGCGGGGTAGTTGGCAGGCGGTAGGGTAGGGGAAATGCCCCGCCAAAACTTGGCCAATTCACACACTCACAACCAGTGACGGCACGCACAAATTAGCTGACCGCTGTATTTCGCTGCCATGGCCGTGCGTTTCTCTCTCTCGTCTCTGCCACCTTTGCAACAACCTGGAAACACCAAATTCTTTTTCCCTTCCTCACCCAAGAAGGCCAGGTCGCGACGCCTCGACAATATTCGCCGTTTCTCCGGTCCTGTTGCTTTCCAGGTTCTCTGCCTTTATCCAAGACCATCCACAGACTCTACATCACTTTGATCGCCTGCAGAGGGACCCCCCTCTTTATTCACTTATTTTTTTGATTTTTCGAACCTGCGCAAAAAAATCTTGCCCCACCATCCCATCACCAACCCCGCCTCGATCCGTCGGGCACCACCATCACCATGTCTGACAAACTTACCCGTGTCGCTATCGTCAACAGCGACAAGTGCAAGCCCAAGAAGTGTCGCCAGGAGTGCAAGAAGGCCTGCCCCGTTGTCCGCTCCGGAAAGCTCTGCATCGAAGTCACCCCCGAGTCCCGCATCGCCTTCCTCTCCGAGTCACTATGCATCGGTTGTGGTATCTGCCCCAAGAAGTGCCCTTTCAGCGCCATCACCATCATCAACTTGCCCACGAACCTTGAAAGCCAAGTCACCCACCGCTACTCCGCCAACAGCTTCAAGCTTCATCGTCTTCCCATGCCCCGTCCTGGCAACGTTTTGGGTCTCGTTGGAACCAACGGTATCGGAAAGAGTACCGCTCTGAAGATTCTCAGTGGAAAGCTCAAGCCCAACTTGGGTCGCTACGACAACCCGCCCGACTGGGAGGACGTCATCAAGTACTTCCGTGGTTCTGAACTGCAAAGTAAGTCATCCCTAATTTGGAATACTATATTCCTCAGATACTAACTCGTTGCTCTCAAGACTACTTCACCAAGCTTCTTGAGGATGACCTCAAGGCCGTTGTCAAGCCTCAGTATGTCGACCAGATCCCTCGCGCCGTCAAGGGCCCTCAGAAGAGCGTCAGAGCTTTGATCGATGCTGTGAGCAGCTTGGGAAACAAGCAGGAGGTCTGCGATACTTTGGAGCTCAACCACATCATGGATCGTGAGATCAACCAATTGTCTGGTGGAGAACTGCAGCGTTTCGCCATTGGTACCGTCTGTGTCCGCAAGGCCGACGTTTACATGTTCGACGAGCCCTCTTCATACCTCGATGTCAAGCAGAGACTGGCTGCTGCCCGTGTTATTCGCTCTCTTCTCCGCGACGACGACTACGTCATTGTCGTCGAGCACGACTTGTCAGTCCTGGACTATCTCTCCGACTTCATCTGCGTTCTTTACGGTCGCCCCGCCGTCTACGGTGTCGTCACCCTGCCGCAGTCCGTCCGCGAAGGTATCAACATTTTCCTCGACGGTCACATCCCTACCGAGAACTTGCGTTTCCGTGACGAGTCCCTGACCTTCAAGCTCTCCGAGGGTGCTGATGAGTTCATGAATGACAAGTCTCGTGCCTTCAAGTACCCCAAGATGCAGAAGTCCATGGGCGACTTCAAGCTGAGCATCGAGTCTGGTGACTTTACCGACTCCGAGATCATTGTCATGATGGGAGAGAACGGAACCGGAAAGACCACTTTCTGCCGTCTCCTCGCTGGCGCCCTCAAGCCCGACACCAAGGCTGCCGTCCCCGAGATGAAGATTAGCATGAAGCCCCAGACTATCACCCCCAAGTTCGAGGGTACCGTTCGCCAGCTCTTCTTCAAGAAGATCAGGGCCTCTTTCCTGTCGCCCCAGTTCCAGACCGATGTTGTCAAGCCCCTGAAGCTTGATGACTTCATTGATCAGGAGGTCAAGAACTTGTCCGGTGGTGAACTTCAGCGTGTCGCCATTGTTCTTGCTCTCGGTATACCCGCCGATATCTACCTTATCGACGAGCCCTCCGCCTACCTCGACTCCGAGCAGCGTATCATTGCCTCCCGCGTCATCAAGCGGTTCATCATGCACGCCAAGAAGACCGCCTTCATCGTCGAGCACGATTTCATCATGGCCACCTACCTCGCCGACCGCGTCATCGTCTTTGACGGAAAGCCCGGTATTGACGCTCACGCCAACAAGCCCGAGTCCCTCCTTACTGGTTGCAACACTTTCCTGAAGAACCTCGACGTTTCTTTCCGTCGCGATCCCACCAACTACCGCCCTCGTATCAACAAGGGCAACTCCCAGCTCGACCAGGAGCAGAAGGCCAACGGCAACTACGTAAGTCGAACAACTGTGTGCCACTTTGACATTGACAGCAATGCTAATATGCTTTATAGTTCTTCCTGGACGACGGCGACAAGACGAGTTAAAGAGGGCATCTATACAGATGTTTTCCCTCGTCACGATGCATTCGACTCAGGCGTTAAGGGCGTTCAAAAGGGGCATAAGCGGCAACCGAGGAGGCGCGCTTCCGGCGGTCAGGATCATGGTTTCGGTTTAGAGGAGGCAAGCGCGTCCGAGGACGACGCCGATGGTGATGGATAACAACGGCGACGGCAGTCTATCCCCCCGTTGCCTGGTCCTATGGAGATACAATATTGGGTGTGCGTATGGCTGAGTCTCCCCCTCTCGGTTTGGATGTGCGAAGGACGCTTTGCAAAGCCACATTTTTTTTGTTGGCTGCACATTCATTTGGGACACAGCCGGACTCCATAGATTGAGGGGCAACGGATGAAGCAGGGTGACTGCCGTCAGTCTCTGCCACGATTTTGTGGCGAGAGACTTTCGTAAATATGGTTGAGCATGCCAAAAGGGCACACGTATCTTGAGAACAAACGACAAGCAATACAAAAAAAAGACCGTTGTTATTAAAAAGCAAATTTTATTTTCTCTTTTTTTAATGTGAATGATTCGACAATGACTACGTTGACAAGAATATATGCACCTACGTTAAGAATGAAACGAAGAAAAAATACATACTAGCTAAGAAGAATTCCCTCTGGGAAAGCAACGGACCTATCGACGTATGATTCGACCATCTACGGGCCGATGGGTCGCGAGGGCCAAAATCTGTTGACGTACGCGTAGGAGGCCGGCCGGGCCGCGATGCGGAAGGAAGGATGCCAATAAGTCTGTATGCGCTGCGGTCATCAGGCTCTCAGTGACGGCTGGTGATTCCGATACGTACTCGAAAAACACTCTTGGCGGTCCGTCAAGGGTCCCCGAGGCTTGTAGACGCACGCCGCATCTAGTCCTCCTCAATCTCGCCCTCTTCAGACCCAGAGTGGACCGCCGCGTCCTCTTTATCCTTCATCGCAACGTCCTTTACAGGCTCCTTTTCCTTGGTGTCCTTCACGTCCTTGGGGGCAGCCGCCGCCGGCGGTGGAGTCCTGTTCTTGTGACGTGTAGTATCACGTTGGGGGGTGCGCTCACGGGGTGTTTTCTCTCTTCTCGCTCTCTGCAGCATTGTCAGCGATCTGGCTCGGGCGTGGTAGACTAGCCAGTCCGTCGTACCTTGGAGTCCCTTGAATCCCGTCGGTCCTCCTCATCCTCCTCGCGGCGGCGTCGGGATCCAGACGGGCGCTCGTCCCCATAAGGGAGCTCGTCGTAGGATCCTATGCGGCGCCGGTACAACCTCTCCCGCTCTTCCTCTCTATCCCGTCTCTCGCGATCATAGTGGCTGTCGTCGTCGCGGCGAGAGCGATGACGGTCGTAATCACGGTCGCGATCGCGCTCACGGTCTCTGTCCCGTTCGCGTTCCCGCTCGCGACGCGGGGGAGGAGATAAACGACGTTCGCGTTCAGTCGATAGCAAGCTTTCCGCCATGGTTGATTTGCGGTGGTTGCGCTCACGCTCAGCAATAGCTTTCCGCCTGTCCGCCTCGTAGGCGTCCACCTCCGGGCTGCGACTTCGCCTGGTAGCACGGCCACTGCTGCGATGAGATCGCTCACCTCTGGATCTGGGTCTCTCACGGTACATGTCGCGTTCGCTGGAATCGCGACCACGTCTGCGCCGGCGATCGCGGTCGGCCTCTTCTTCCTTCTCGCGGAGTCTCCTCACATATCGATCAAAGGTAGCGACGCGAGCGTCTTCCGATGTGACAGCCTGGAACGCGGGCGTATCCGCAAGGCGAGCCTTGACCTTCTCGTACGTGTCATCCAGGGTAATAGGGGGATCCATACGCTTCATGTACGCCCGGAGATCATCAGCCGCCCGTCGCTGTTGGCGTTCAGATTGTCTCTCATCGTCGGATCTCTTCAGAGATCTCTTTTCCTTGGCCTGTTGCGCACGCGTTAGCTTTTGTCGAAACCTCACGTTAGGTTTCCATTTATGACTTACGCGTTCGAAGAGAACCATCAAGATATCACGGTCAATGTTAGCAGTTCGTCGACTCTTTTTCATAACGGCATGGAATTCTTCGAACGTGGTCTGGGGAGTGATATCAAATCGCTCGTCCTATAGGGTATTAGCAGACTGAAATAGGACAACGAGATCAAGGTCAACTTACGTCAATGACATCGTACACGTCGTTCCTAGCTCCACGCATGGATTTCTCCTCTTCTTCGACGAGATCCCAGAAAAGCTCCTGGGGAGCTGAGCCACCTTGGCCAAGAATGGCCTTGTATCGGTCGTCGTTCTCGATGAGGGAGTAGATTTGGCGCCACTTCGTGCTGGCATTGATCTTGCCGTCTTTCCTGAGCTCAGTGAGGAGGGAGATGAAGCCATCACGAGCCTTACGCTCCTTGCGGAACTTCTTATTCTTTTGCTCCTGCTTAGAGTCGTTGAAAGCGCGCTCCAAAGCCTTCATGTGGTTTTGGAACGCAATCAGAATGTCAAACTTGCTCAGGGTCTTGTACTTCTCATCATTTTGGAAGGGCGTCGTGGATGAAATGAGGCTGTGCGCATCGGACCAGCGCGTGTAGGGCTCCAGGTTGAGCTTCGGGAGGAGGTCAATGAGCCCGTCCATGGCCGTCTTGCGCATAGTGGCCTGGTTCTCCATGTGGTTCTTCTTGAGGTCAACTCTGTACTCCTCAAAGAGCTGACGACGCTCGGCCTCGTTATCCGTGGACCTAAAGATGGTCTCGCCTTCGATCATAGGGCGCGCAGTCTTCCATCGCGTGTAGTGCTTGATCTCCGGATGGCGCTTAAGCATAGTCTCGAAGTCAGTACGCAACTTGGTCAGTCTCTCCTTTGCGCGCTCTTTGTCTTGGACTATCATGTCATGGCAGTACTTCTCGAAAGCTGCTTTGCGATCCTTGGGGTCCTTGATAGCCCTGTACTGAGGGTCCTTTGCAATAGTTCGCAGGGTCTGCTCCCAGGTCCAGTCCGTCTGAACGCCGCTGCGTTTGAGGAGCTTGGTGAAGGCGGCCTCTGCCTCTTCCTGCGTGGCGAATTCGGGCTCGTTACTTGCGGGCACGAAGGCCTTGGCCGTCGCGTCGTTGCCGAATGTCAGCTGGCGCGACTCGTGGAAGGTATCGCGGTGGTCGCGGTAGGAATCGTAACGGTCATTGTTGTACCTGTCAGAAGGCGCTCCTCGATCGTATGGTGCAGCCCTTTCAGCCCTATTCTTGTTAGTTGGTAATTGGTACTGGGTCAAGGTATGTACATACGCAGGCGTACTGGGGCCGCTGTTGGCACCTAAAGCCTTCTTGTAGGCCTCGGGCATCTCCCAGGAGCTCGACTTCGTCTCGGTGTTATACCAGTACTTGCGACCGCCTTCCGCGGTGTACTCCTTCCATGGCTGATTCGCAAGTGCTCTCTGTGACCAATTAGCAGCTAATCCTACTTTTCCGGGGAAGTGCTCTTACTTCGGCCGGAGACATCATATCCTCGGGCTTGGTCCATTGCGTAACCTTGGTGGCCGCATTGTAGTAGTAGGCTCGGCCATCTGGCGTGCGATGCTCCTGCCACGCCGGAGGCTGGCCGTATGGGCTGCCGGATCCGTTCATGATGATGATACCGCCTATCGATTGGAGATTTGGTAGATGTCTAGGTGAACTCGATTTGTTTGCCAGTCGATTATGAGCAAAGCGAACATGCGTGGACTTTTTGAACGGCGAGTCAACGTGGAGGATCGAGCAGGTCGTCGCGCGGAGGGGGACGCGAAGAGATACTACGAAGATTTGCGACCGACGGAATGAGCAATTTGGCGCTTAGTGCACGGACCGGGGTAGCTCGGTGGTTCCGCTCTCCAGTCTAACTTCAATCCGAACTTAAGTAAGCCAGCTGGCAGCCAGGGGAAAGCTCCCACACTGTGTAAGAGACACCCAACTTCTCACTGTCCTTCATGCGACTCAACTCATTGGACCTCTCACCGAACCTCTCTCGAACTGCATGTACTTTCTCGGACTGACAAACACTTATTTACCATACTTCTTCCTTTCTCACGGAGCAAAGCCTCAGGTTCAAGATCTCCTCTGGGGAGGAACATCGCTAGCTCGCTAAGCGTTTGGTGTAAGTTCCCTTGATTTGGCAAACAGAAGAACACCGTTGTGAAACTGTCCTTGGTGTCTTCTATTCATCCTTTATACATGGATGGTTGAGATGAGCCTTCATATTTAATGCCACAAACATAGCCCAACATGGCTGTAGACGATCAAATCCGGGAGCCCGCCGGGGTGGCCGAGTTCATCGAGAATGCGTTTCTCACATATTTCATCCCCGAAGCAACAAATCTTGACCTTGAGAAAGCGTTTCAAGGCGTTGACGACACTAAGGCGCTCTTTGATTCTATCAAGCGGAGGGACACACTCTTTTTCGGTATCTCTTCAACTATCCCGTAATCATATCCACGCCATCTAATATCTACCAGATGAGACGGTTGACGTGCTGCTGGTCCTGAGGGCCCCTCTCATGGACGAAAAGGCACTGCGATCACACTTCAGCCGGTTGGTCGTCTCAGTAGAGGCCCAAATCGTCAACAGCCACGCTTCGGATAGGGAGAAGCCATCGACGGACATCATCTTCCAGGGAACTGTTGAGGATACCTCTGACCCATTCATCGTCGTCGACGAACCCGAAGAGGAAGACTCCGCCTCAGACTCGAACGAAAAGGATGAGAACGCCGTCGCCCCTATAGATAGGCGAAAGAGGGAACCGCACATATATGCTGTTTGGAAGCTCCCCGTCTTCCTCGCGCGGCCACGCATCCGCCTGCAAGGTCCCTTTGCGACCTTCACAGCCTCAGCCGGCCTCAGACCGGCCTCGGCGGCGGGCTCTGGCTCGGCCACCCCTCTCTCGCCCAACTTCCGCATGAACGGCGGTGCCGGGTACCTCCAGTCCGGCATGCCCTCGGGCCTGAACCTCCTCGAACCCTTCACCAATGATCCGGGCCTCGGCGGTGTAGTTCCACGTCTCTCCGCCCTCCGCGTCTCCCGCGTTGCCCCCGTGACCCAAGCCAAAGACACATCTCGGCCTCTGCGCTGCCTCTCCCAGCTTCGGACACGCATCTTTCCCGCCGTGCACACCCGAGTCCGCTTCTCCCGCCCAAACACCATGCCCACCTCGCCGGCCCTTATCGCCCTCTTAGAGGTGGACTTCACCCAATACTTCGACTGCCCCATCGAGCTCACCAGCATAGCCCTCTCTGTCGCCGACGGCGGTGTCGTAGACGACCTCAGCTCCCCGGCCGGCCTCACATTACCCATGACCTGCGTATCTCACGACCACGTCACGTTCCTCTACCGCCTATCGCCGCAACAGCTCGACCTTCCCTCCAAGAACCCCAACCGCGATCTCGATATCCACATCGAAGCCGTCGTGCAGAGGAATCCCGGCATCTGCTGCCCGCGTCTGAGCATGACCTGGACCACCACCCTCGACTTCACCCTCCCCGTCAACCCAGGTTTCAACGCGGCAATGCAACCAATGCAACCCATCCAACGCTCCCACCGCCCCTCCCAGCTCTCCATCTCAGGCATCGAGGCAGCCCAGTCCCTCGTCGCCCCGGCCGTCATGCGCCCGGACTCCCTCCCCGCGCTCGAGGCCGCCACGCGCACTGTCGAGGCGCCCCTCCCGGAACTCGGCATCACCATGACCTTCTGCGGCCCCACGGAGCCCATCTACGCGGGCGAGGAGTTCTCCTGGACAGTCTACGTCGTCAACCGCAGCGTCGAAAAGGTCAATCCGGCCGTGACGCCGCGCAAGCTCGCCCTCGTGGCGCTCTCGAAACGTCGGCGCAACGAGGTCCGCCTCATGCGACCCCCCTCGACGAGCGGAAAAGGCAAGACGGCTGCAGACGCAAAAGAGCTTGCGGATGCGGTGCTGGATGAGAATGTTCTGCACGCTATGCAGCGCAACTCGGTGGTCGATGCCACCGAGGTCGTTTGCCTCACTGCCGACACCAGAGTCGGACCGCTTGCACCCGGGGCGTGTCACGTCGTGGAACTCAAGTTCCTGCCCCTGAAGGAGGGCCTTGTCAACATTGAAGCCGTCAGGGTGATCGACTTGAGCTCGCAGGAACACGTGGACGTCAGGGATCTTCCCATCATGTTTGTAGAAAAGCGACCAGTGACAGAGGTATCGGCAGCGGCAGTGACAGAGGAGCAAGATAAGGATGAGCAGAAGACGGACGAGTGAGTGCAATGAGTGTCTGGGTGCTGATAGATAGCACTTCGCTCTCTAAACCCCTAATATATTCCCACCAAAAGACCTTCAAGAACGATGCAATCCCAGATGCAAACCCCTTGGCTCCAAAGATGCTATGCTATGCCGTGTTCATCAAGTGTATTCCTCGCGTCCCTTTCCATGACCCCAAATAGTTCAAACCCCTGGGTATCCGTATGCTTAAAAGTCCATACACGCCACATCAATGCAACCCACAAAATGTCATTAAAAGTCGTCAAAGTCATCTTCCCACCCAAGTCGTGCGTAAATCGACTTTGGTTTCTCCTCCTCAGGTGGTGGAGGCGGCACAAATGATGATCTGCGCATCGGAGTGGCCGCCACCTCGTCTCCCAACACGTCCACCGTTCGTTGTTTGCATGGTGTTGCCGGCAATCCAATATCTGGCGATGGTGACCGCATAGGCTCAGGTCTCGACCTGATCACACTTCCCGGCACGCTTAGATGCTGAGCTCTCGCAGGCTTCCTTGCCATCAAGGGCGACGAAGGCGGGATCGCGGCCTCGTGCCCACCACGCTTGATAGGTGTGGCCTGTATAGCAGATGATGGAGTGCTGCCCATTATGTCGATATGGCCCCTCCGCGGTCCCGTAGAGGGGACTCTCGATGCACTGGATGGCGGAATACTCGACATCGGAATGAACAGATTATTTGCGCCCTGTGACTCTGTGCTCAAGGCATCGCGGAAGCGATGTGTAGCAGGTGTGACCTTGACCTGTACCGATTCAAATAGTGGATGTCGGGTCGGCGGTTTCTTAGACTCTGCGTCAGGGATTAGCATATTACCTCCAAAAACTTGAGGTATCAAAACTTACTCTTAATCGAAGAAAGGCCTCCGGAAACCCGCTTCGCCGCATCCTCAACAATGGCCTTGCCCGCTAGGTCACGATTAGGTTTCCGAATGGCGGTGATGGCATCCTTCAACTCGGCTTCCACCAGGGCCTTCTTCTGTGCCTTGACGTCTTGGACCTTGACGTCATCCAGGGCCGTCATGCTTTGACTCCTGGAAAGTAGACCCGTCCGGTCCTTGGGCGAATTGCGATCGAGCTCGCTGTTTTCACGCTTGAAGGCGGGAATATTGGCCGAGGTTGCAGATCTCAACAACGCAATGGCGTTACCGGGACCTCTGGAAATACTGCGCCGCGACTGCTCCTTGAAAAGGGCCTTTTCTATGTTGTTCTTCGATAAAGGCTTGACAGGACGTTTCGCAGCAGCTCCCGGCTTCGTGCTGGGCTTACTCGAAGAAGGCTTGGCCTTGGGCTTTGGCGGAGCAATGATGACGGGTCCTCCAAGTTTACGGTTGATGGAATCGCAGATCTCAGGCAACCGAGCAGCGAAGCTGGTAATGTTAGCTAAGTAGAGCCTATGTGATGAGTGCAAACTTACAAAGGCATAATGATGTCAGTACAGAAGTCCTTTAGGGGGTCTGCAGACGCCCGCAAGGCTGGATCCCCGGCGTTCGCCGCAGTGACTTGAGAACCCTCTAACAGTCTCAACTCATCAGAAGCAGTGGACTGCCAAATGGTGAGCCGATCAGCGTGAACGTCCACCAATACGGGGAAGTTGTGTTTGCTGCGTTTCTTCGGCTGAACTTCTGCTGCCTTCTCGCCATCCCCCTCGCCTGACAGACCAGGTAGTTGGCTCTCTCCCTCTGCCTCGGCTGTACGCAGAGGCTCCAGGGCCAGGATTTCCAAAATCAATATCATCTGCAATTGCGTCTCGCGAGTCCTCAGCAGGGAAACATGGGACTTGATCTGTGCTGGTGTGATGGTCATGTCCTCGTCGCTGATTTCCGGCTTGTTCGAGCTCCACCAGGCGCGCACATGCTCGTCTTCGCCAGAGTACATGCCGTCCTTGCCCAACTTCATTTTCTTGGTCTTCCTTCGCTTCGACTTGCTACCTTCGTCGGAACTATCAATGTGTGTCTTCATTTTCGAAATTAGATCCGGTATCGCTTCGCGGTACTTTTTGTCGATTTGGACTGTTGTCATGACAAGACTCTTCAAAAACTCTATGAGGTCATTCATATCCATCGTGCCGTCGCAATCGAGATGGAACGCGGCGCGGGCTCGAGATAGCGGTCCCTTTGCAAAGTACGCAAGAGATCCCTATATCTCTATGTCAGCCGAGGCTTCTCTACCACACGACAGAACGATAAACTAACCATTGACTTGTAAAGTGCCTCGGTATATTGTGTCCTGATGGTGTCCATGATGTCGCCAGCAGTCTGCTGGGTAGTAGGCTCGGGAACGGGCTGTGGTGTCGGTTCGACTGCGTCCAGATGTGTTTCAATCCACTCGGTAGGCTCAGGCTTTGGCTCGACCGTCTGGGCCAATCCGCGTGGCGTTTGCGGTCGTGAGAAGTCGTCGTCAGACCTCGTCCGCTTCTCCGCTCTCGTCTCGTCGAATGTTGACACCGATTGCGAGCGGCCTCTCTTCCTCACAATAGACTGCTGCAGCGCCTCGATCGCCAGTCTCTTCTCCTTGTGTCCTCTGTGCAAGGCGGGCGTTGTCAATGGCATGGTCTGGCCTTGCTTAGACTCCCTTGCTTCTTCTGCAAGCCGCATGCGTGCGACATGCTTCCCGACCACCGTCGCCTTCTCGGATAAGGCCAATAGGTCCACCCAAGGCCCAAGTTTACAGACTGTATAGAGGTTGGTTCCAAAGGCTGTGGCACGTTCGAGCGCGTAGATTGACTTGGAGGCTTCGTTGCGCGCAAGGAGCAGGCTCGGCCTCTCGGCGACTCGATCTTCGAGGTCAAGAATCTTGACTAGGGACTCGTAAAGGCGGCTAGAAGGAAGATCGCCGTGGGGTGAAAAGAGGTCGAGGCTCGACAGCGGAAGGTCTTCTCGGGGGAGCAGCATGAGCGGCTGCAGCGTGCATGGCTTCGTGACGGTACTGGTAGGATGCACCTAGGTAACGCGTCAGCTATTGACGGACATTGCCTGGCGCGCTGAGGAACCTACCTTGAGAACGATCGCAGCCTTCAGCAAGTCCTCCATGGCATGGGAGATGCTGCGCTTCCTCTGCGCCGTCGTAGGCGGCGGCAATTCATGTTTGGAGTTCAGAGATCCATCAGAGCTTGGCGTAAGAATTCCCGATCTTTGACGCGACGCGTCTGAGGGCGGGAACAGCCTGGAGGAAGACATAGATTCATAGGGAGAGGAAGTGGTGAATCGAACTTGAAAATACAGACTGGTCCTCAAGAAAACATAAACTTCAAGTCCAGTGTCTATCCCACGTACAAATAACGGGCGGAGGGGTGAGTAAAATTGCGAGCGACACTTTAAGTGACATGGGTTGAGCGACGCAGCGCGACAAAGTGATTTGGAGCTCGGAATGATCGAATGGCGTCACGCGTCAGTGATTTAGCGCACCGTTCAGCGTGTTATGGTGGCCCAGACGCCCGGGCCCGGGGTACTTCGGAGGTCCCACTTTATCTTCAACGTTAACGGGAGCCTTCAACCTCCGGCGCCCTTGGCAAGCTCCGGGTCGATTTCACAGAGATGGGGCTCTTTTGGTAAGGGTCAATCAAGCTCTTTCTTGTGCAGTAGTTGATCTTGGTGTAATGATACTTTGTCACATGGACTGAGTTCTAAAGTGTTTGACGTAGGCAGTATTTGAACCGGCCTTCTCGTTGCGCACAGATCTATTTTTCGTTTGAATAGCTTCAGATAATCACCAAACACTTCGCTGAGACCAAACTTCCCCATTCAGTTACTCTCGAGATTTTTTTCTTCAGCTCATAGACTTAAGTTACCGCGCTTATTGTGGCTTTGGCCATAAGAGAGTGTTATTTTCACAACGGCCATCACTCTGAAGGGCTGTCTAGCGGCTGAAATATACTTCTCTTGCATCCTGATTACTTTAAGCCGGTTGATCCTTGATCAAGCTCCAGGAACATTCTGACCTTCAAAAAATTTCTGAATCGTCCGTAATGCTGATCATACTGCGCAGAGAAATTCTCATTGCGAGAAACGCTTCACAATAAGGTACTTCTATTATACCTCTAATCTCGTGAAGGAGTAAAACAAATCGGCCCCGTTTGAGTGGCCCTGCTCATCGACCTCAAGTCTGCGTGGGGGAAAATTCATTCAGACTAGCCATATAGAAAAGTCTTGAGGCAACGAAACTTTTCCTGAAGACGCCATGCTTCAGAGGCGCATTGATCACATTTCGTTGACATCGTCAAGTTGAACACTTCCTCGCACCCAGCGACATGATTCCCTAACAATAAAGACTTGACCAATACGTCTTGGCTATATTGAGCTACAATGTCGATTTCCATTGGTAGTCAGTACTTGACGCTCATCTCACGTCTACTTGATACCGGCAATCAGCGAGACAATTCATGCCCTACTACTATGAACACGAAGTGATCTGCAGATAGGAGACACTTTACGCATACCAGCCTCAGCTATGATTCCCAAAGAGGACTAAGTATTTATGAAGTCTGACTGATAACCCAAGTCTGACTGATCCGGCCTCACGTGGCTGGCCCCTTAGATTGGCCTCATTCAAATTGGCCTCATTCGAGTCCTCAGAAATTTGGCCTCATCAGTACCGCAGCCTTCACTCATGGCCACGACCTCTCATCCATCTATAAAAGTCCCACACATTTTCTTTCAATTGTCTCTTTCTTCTTTTCTTCTCCAGCTCTCTTAGCCACAAGGCTATGATCAAGTGTAGTATCTGTTCTTCCCAGTCTAACCAGCTGGGCAAGCATCCCCACGGGGATCGCGAGCCTGTTTCTCAACGGTTGACACAATTTTTACAATCTCGGGAAGACGAGCCTCTGTGTCTTCTCACTCTCCTGAGGCTTGCGACGTTGTTCGCTCTTCTTTCTCGCGGCGCTACGTCTAGACGTGGCTCTCCGTGGGAAAGAAGGCATGGGTTTCATCGAGGGAGAGAGGTTACACATGTCGGCTTCCCACCGTGTCCCTGGTATTACACTGCCTCCAGGCGACGCGAAAGAAATATTGGTTCTACCTTTTTTCTTCTCTTATTC